GGAAGTACTGTCAGTGATCAAAGGCTGAAAGAACGACGAGCTGGGAAACAAATTGCACAGCTCGGCGAACAAGCGAAGCAATCATGCCCCCCGCTCAAGGTGCCTAGCGACATCGTCGCTAATGATCCGAGGATGGTGCCCGGTTATAGCAATCTTGGAGATTACCTGCCCGACGATGTACATTATGATTTCATGGAGGTGCAGATACAAAGATACGAGTACGGGAAGCCTCTCGTCAAAGATGAAAGATCTCTATCAACGTTGCATGATTGGTGCTTGAAAATCTGCAGAGAGTCTGGGGGAGGAATACTTTGTATGTGAGAGTTAAAAAGGAGCATGACCTCGTTGGAATTGCTCTGTTGCCTGATCCATTTAAGGAGTTCTTTCAGTTTTTCAATCAATTGGCCCTCGATAAAGCAACGGTCACCTGCTACTGTCTGTAAGTAGTACTACTTCTGTCATTAAGTCTCTCTATATAGCTCAACTCTTTTATTGCATGTATTTATAATTATCCTCACTATATTATGCAGATTGAAGATCGCTGAATTGAAGAAAAGACAAGTCGGTGATATTGGGTTCATTAACACATATCTCATAGATGAAACTGAGGTTAAATTTCATCCCGCAGATACCGAGGCCAATTTGCTACGATCGTTGGTAATAAATGAAAACAAAGATATAATACTCTTTCCTTACAACTTCAAGTGAGTGTTACTGTCCTGTGCGTATTCGGTTTCCCTTATATATATTAGTCAAGGTTATAATAATGTAATTGATGAGTTATGCATGCGTGTGCAGTATCCACTATATTCTCCTAGAGATTAAGCTTGAGCAGGGACTAGTAACCGTCTTAGACTCAAGACGAAAAGATCCCCAGGACTATGCGGACATGACTCAAATGCTCGAGAAGTAAGTTAAATCGATCATTATCCACCACATCAGCAACTTTGTTCATTTCCTGATATATCAAGTAATTGTTTTCTTTGTCTGGTGGGGTTTGAAAAAAATTCACCAAAAAAGCTCCGGGACTCCCGAAAGAGCTGCAATTTAGACACCCGAAAGTAAGTACTATAGTAGCATGTTCCGCGCATCTCTTATTGATTCAAGCGCTAGTTTCATCAATCCCATTTGACATTCTTGCTTATCAGTTTGATTGACCTCTATTTCTTGTAAAGTGCTTGTGGCAGGAACAAGGGAATAATTTTTATGGATACTATATTTGCGAGTCCATCCGCCACACGACCTGTGAGCGGGGCTACACTGACGAACAATATGAAGTGCGTAAATAACAACATTCACAATTTTATTTTATTACCATCATTTGTGTTGAGTTTCATATATATATATATATATATATATATATATATATATATATATATATATATATATATTGTATTGAAGAAGATGTTTCGGAAGCGGGATGAACTCCTAGCACCAGCTCGCATGCGAGCAATTCAAGAGGAATTGGCGGCATTCTTTCTTGACCACGTGATCGCTGAAGACGGAGAATACTATGTGGACCATGAGTCCGTATGTTAGGAGATTATATTTGTAATAGATAATTATTGTATATATGTAGCCGGTAGTGTCGGATAGATATACGAGAACTTGTTGTTCGACCAATCTCTCGGAGAAGGAGAGGTGGTCGATATCACTTCTCTCTGTATGCATATATGTTCATGACGATCTTCTGTTTCATTCGTTTGCTTACTAGTTAGCTAGCGTGTCTAGTCCTTTCTATACGTATGTATAGTACGTAGCGTCGACCAAGCACGGACATAAGAGAGGACACTTCTCTCTATTAATTATAGCTAGCTAACACAATATATGAAACACCTAAATTAACCCTCCAAAACTCCTTTAAAAAAACAAAAACCCCAGTCACAGAAATGCTGACGCGTGGATGCCTATTGGTCCCGGTTGGTGCCACCAACCGGGATCAAAGGCCCTCCTGCCTGGGCTCCGCGCACAGGCCACGTGGAGGCCCATCTGTCCCGGTTCTGGATTGAACCGAGACTAAAGGGACAGGGCATTAGTACCGACTCTTTAGTTCCGGGACAAAAAGCCCTTACGAACCGGGACAACATGCCCTTTTTCTACTAGTAATGTATGGAGCAATCATTATAAAGATAAACCTTAGAGCATCTACTTTTTATTGTAATTTTTTTTGAGTCGTGTTGTTAGCACATAGCTTAGCTAAGTTTTCACTCTCTAGAGGTCGGGGATGCCATGTTTGATTTGGCGTGCCTCACGACCAGAGATGCATCCCACACCATGTGGACTTTCATCAATAAATTTAGCTTTACCCCTAAAAAAATCTGCCAGTTGGATTGAGGAAGACCATACCACCGACCTCTACATGCACAACGTCTCGTAGGTCAAGTTGTATCCGACACGACGAGCACATGGTGGATGAAGAGGTCTAGAAGATGAAGAAGTTGTAGGGGGAGATTGTACAGAGAAGTCGCGGTTGTCACGGTCGAGGGTGAGCTAGGTGCCCAAACAACACTACAAGACTGTTCGTCTTATGCTCACGTTAGTGTAATTCTGGATGCAATTAGCTCCATTAGAAATGTACATTTAGTTCTTTTTTCTTTCACTTTTTGAGTAGGATTTTCCTTTCTTTTTCCAGGATAGCAATGTGTACTCCAATACTAGTATGCGAGAGTAACTAGTTAACGAGCGCTTTTTTGAGAGCCTCGCAACGATCAGCATCACTTGGCGCGTTCTCAGCCATTTGCCACGTCTCGCGCTTTGGAATTTTCCTCCGGATTAATTTGAATTTTCCGCACGTGTTTTCAGCTTTTTAAACGGGGTTTTTTCGACGTTTTGGTTTTCCACCGGTCTTCCTTAGCTTTTCGATATTTTTTTGAATTTCTTTTTTGCGTGAAAAAACATGTTTTTCTTTTCTTTTCGTGAGAGTCATGATTTTGTTTTCGCGAGAGGGCACGGTTTTGCTTTCGCGGGAGTCACGGTCATGCCTTTCGGAAACGAAAAAAACGCGTTTTCTATTTTTTTTTCCTTTCGCGAGAGTCACGATTTTGCTTTCACGAAGGCACGGGTATGCTTTCGCGAGAGTCACGGCCGTGCCTCTCGGAAACGAAAAAACAACGCGTTTTCTGTTTTTTTCCTTTCGCGAGAATCACAGTTTTGCTTCTGCGAGAGGCACGGTTGTGCTTTAGTGAGAGTCACGGCCGTGCCTCTCGAAAACGAACAAAAAACGTGTTTTTTCTTTTTTTTTCTTTCACGAGAGTCACGGTTTTGCTTCCGCGATAGACACAGTTGTGCTTTCGTGAGAGTCACGGCCGTGCCTCTTGGAAACGGGAAAAATGTGTTTTCTAGTTTTTTTTCCTTTCGAGAGAGTCACGTTTTTGCTTCCGCGAGAGGCACAGTTGTGCTTTCGTAAGAGTCACGGTCGTACCTCTCAGAAACGGAAAAAAATGTTTTTTTGCTTTTTTTTTTCTTTCATGAGAGTCACGGTTTTGTTTCCGCGAGAGGCACGGTCGTGCTTTCGTGAGAGTCACGGCCGTGCCTCCTCGGAAACGGAAAAAACGTGTTTTCTTTTTCTTTTCTATTGCGAGAGTAAGGATGGCAATTTTATCCATGGACATGGATATCCATGGATATCCGACCCGAATGGATAGGTTTGGATATGCTTTTGTGTCCATGGACGGCGCCCAAACCCGCCTCGATTGTTCATGGATAGGGCATGGATATAATTTTGTACCCATGGATATACCTAAACCCGACCCGATAGTGTGACTTAATGGAGGAAAATCTGCTATCCCTGCCCCACGGTCATATGCCTCACAACAATTTTGCACTTTTTTAAATCTAAAACATGCATAAGAAATTACACAATCCCCATCATAACTTTTATTAGTTGACATTCAATCCCCTCCGTAGCATACTCCAACACCCCTTTCCTTATTTTTACCTCCTTCTTAAATGACTCATCATTCTCATTTGTTAGAAAAATACTAAATGATCTTAGGTTGTTAGTGGATGTTGATTTACCATAAGTGAAGCCTAGCCTGCCATGAGGTGAAGAATGTAAGAGTTTATGTTAATATTGTGTTATGTCTTATTTATATGTCTCGAGAGGACCCAATGGATATTCAGTGGGTATGGATATCCATCAGATTTGGACATGGACACAATTTTTCATCCATGGATTTTTTTATGGGCGGGCAAAGACTGTCTTCATGGATATGGATATGGATTTAATATTGTTCAACCCGATCCAAATTCGGCCCATTGCCATCCTTACACGAGAGTCACGATTTTGCTCCCGTGAGAGACATGGTTGTTATTTCGTGAGAGGCACGGGCGTGCCTCTTTCGAAAAGGGAAAAAACCCGTGCTCTCAGTTTTGTTTTTTCGTTCATTTTTTTTGTCAAAATCTATCAACATGACATCTAATTTTGAAGATTTCGACGAGAGAAATCCAATGATGAAAGCGGTTCAAAATTTGGACGCATGGTTTGAGAGATAAAACATTTTGAATAAACAGATGTATGAAAAATAAGAAAACTCCCATATTGCAACAAGTGACGCGCTGCATGTGCGTCCCTTGTCACAGCCTGAGAGTTGAAGTGGTCTTTACAACGAGTACTCTTGAACTAGCGATTTCACTAGTATGCTACACATTTGATTTTTTTTATTTGAGGGGTTGCTACACATTTGATATGTTTGGACTCACGCGGCCCACTCCAGCCAAAAAAAGAGAGGAAAAGGCCACTCGGCCCAACCTCCACTCCCCCATCGTCTTCGCTCGCTACCGAGCTCCGCCGCATCTCGCAGCTGCGGACACCTGCATCGCCGGCGCAGATGGCAGCTGACGCTCTCGCCGCTCTTCGACCCGCACTTCTTCTCCCAGCAAGCACCTGGTAGGTCCTCTCTTCCCCCACTATCTCCTCACGGCCCGGATTGATCTCTAATCTTTTCCCCTCCGTCTCCCGATCTGTGCAGATTGTGAGCTCCTCGTCTCCACGGACGGCCATGGCGGGGGGATCCAAGAAGGAGAAGGCTGTGGAGGGGAGCGATCCTACGGCCAAGCTCACCGACGACATCCTCGTCGAGGTCATCTCGCGCGTCCCCTACAAGTCCACCTGCTGCTGTAAGTGCGTCTCCACGCGCTGGCGCGACCTCTTCTCCCACCCGGACCACCGCAAGAAGTTGCCCCAGTCCCTCGCCGGCTTCTTCTATGAAGGTTATAACAGAAATCGCTCTCCCAAGACAGCTCGATATTTCACCAACGTGTCAGGGGAAGGCGACCCTTTCGTCGACCCGTCCCTCGCGTTTCTGCCCAACTATAAGAGCCTTGAAATCTTGGACTGCTGCAATGGCCTCCTCCTCTGCCGCTGCTGGAAGGAGACTGATCCCAAGACATTGGATTACGTTGTGTGCAATCCCGCCACTGAGAAATGGGTGGTCGTCCCTCCCACCAACTGGTCCAGCGAGGTGGAGGTCACTCGGCTGGGGTTCGATCCGTCTGTCTCCTCCCACTTTCATGTGTTTGAATTCATAGATGAGGATGTGTGGGGTACAGAAGAGGACAAGCTAAATGATTGCAGTGGACGCATAGAAATGGTGTCAGTTTACTCATCCAAAGCTGGTGTTTGGATGCACCACCGAACAGCTGATCACAATTTATTTGCGATACCAAGGCATTCAAAAAGCGTATTTTTCAATAGGATCCTGCATTTGGCTGCCTTCGATGACATGGTAGTGACCTTGGATGTCAAAGGAAGTCTTTTATGGATCATTGGTACTCCTGCATCATCCTGTAATGATTCTTCTATCAATGATATTTTTCTATCAAATGGGCAGCTACATTTTGCAGCTAGTGCTGATTCTGTATGCCTATCAGTCTGGGTTCTTGAGGACTATGAACGAGGAAAGTGGACCTTGAAGCACAATATCAGCCACTCGCAACTGTTTGGAGTAATGTATTCAGAGCATGATTACAATGTCATCTCATTTCACCCTGAACGCAATATGATTTTCATAGTCTGTGGGCATGAGAACACACTAATGTCATATGAGATGGATTGCAGAAAGCTTTATTTTATAAGTCAACTTGGACGGGATGGCCAAATTAAATGTGGCAAGACTCCTTATATTCCATATGTTCCCTTGTTCTCGGAGTCATTGGCAGATGGACCTTAAAAGTCCTACTTGCATAGTGTAGCTTCGCAGTTATCTATCTTTCTGATGATATTGGAGTTAGGTTTTTTGAATATGAGCAGCAGTGACTTGGATATACCTTATGGAGTTGTAACAGTCACTCTTGGTGCTTAGGTGCACTCATGTACCTGACTTTATGTGGCTAGCCAGTAACTCTGCTTGTGTCTGTATCCTCATATAAGTATCTCATGCAGTTGTAACACCCAGTCTTAACTATGGATTCTATGAATGATTTGTCAAACCATGATTTTTCTTTGATACCTGGAGTCTTGTCTCTGCATTTTCTTTGTGTTGTAACTTGGTTTAAAAATGTGATTTGGTCTTTTATGGCATTTGAATGCCTAAATCCCATTTTCTTAATTATATGGCTTGGAAACTTTTGGTTATCTCCTCTCAGTGATGAAATAATTTATATGTACTGCACTTTTTTTTCATAATTAGGTAATAATGTTGGTTACAGTATTGGTAGTTCAAACGTGATGTATGTCATTTTGTAGACAGATTATTTTCTGGAATATCATATATTCAGATTTGTAGTGAATGATGTCTTCTACCTGAAGTAGGAGACTCTGTGGCTTCAGTTTGTTCTAAATACAGTAAGATAGCTATAACAACCGTAGAACATATTGAGACTATTAAAGAACCAGTATATTTTTTGTGGCATCAATCAACAGTCCTGTCACTTTGTTATCCTATTATATATGTTTAATTTCTAACTTAAGTTTGTGTAAACAGTGGCAGTGAAGTCCTCATAATAATTGGCAGAAGTTAACTTTCTGATGTCCCCAGAAAAGGTATCTACCTTGAATTCTGAATCTGAAGTTGCTTAACCAGACACTACTTTCTGGAACTCAAGATATTGCTGTCGGGGTGACCTTGCATTGCATGCAAGTAACTAGATATTACTGCCTCTTGGTGGCATGAATTTAAATCTGATTCCATGCAATGTACCTGATATTAGTATGTGGTTTCTACAAAATTCAGGTATACTTTCCCTTGCTGGAGATGCATGTTGTACACCAGCATTGCTCCTGTACACTCCGTGTTTTCAGGAGTCAAATCTAAGGCTTATAAAATGTTATGCTATATGTTGATTACAACTTACAGCTCCCTGTTAATATTATCCCCCTCGGCTTTTGTCTCAGCTGGCTCCGGCTATTGACCGAGGAGTGCAGATCCATCGTTCAGAAACAGGGTGCTCTCATCTGCGCAATGGCAACAAAGATTAGGAGCCAACCTTGAGGGTTAATTTGAACGGAACAAAACTTCTCCTGTACAAGAGGTATAAAAACATCGATCAATCAGACCATACAGGCATGTCCAATTAATTTCCATGGTAAACTCTTTTTTCTTCTTTTCTGATTTGAAACTAGTGTCAGCCATGTGTTTGAATCTGAAATACTCTTCAATGTATTTATCTGACATTGAATTGGAATACATACAGGAAACTTAATCTTGGCCAAGATATTAATTCTCCTAGTTCAGACGATAAAGCTTGCAGAAAGAAAAAGGAGATCAGTCATCTTACGATTAGTACCATGTAGTATATTGTAGAAATTTGTGCAGTTCCTTCTCCTTGGGCGTCGATAGCCCCTGATTTAGCAACGGCTGTTGCACCTGAATAAGCTTAGGACAATCAGATATGTCAACATGTTGTATGGATGAAAGAACAGCTGTTGGCGATCCTCCTATGGATGATAACTCGGAGCAGTGACGAAGAACCAGACATTTGATACTTGTGCTGGAGTTCAATGGAACAACCTCCACGTTGTGACAGCCTTCCAATTGCACAAGCCTGAGAGAGGCAAGGTTCTCTAAGCAGCCAGGCTGAAATGACTTATCAAGCTCGCCGCAATAACAGATGGAGAGTCGTTGGAGTGAAGGAGGGAAAACAATTACTTCGCTTGGGCACACCAGCTTCCAACAGGAATGGATCTTGAGGTCCTGAAGGCAAACAAACCCTGCGAATCCGTGGACAGGCATTGACAGTAGACTTGTACACCACACAATCTCAATTGATTTGATGAATGGCAGATACTGCGGGCACAAGAAGTGCTCAAGATTTGTTAGCTTACGACAGCTAAAAAGGCGTAAATTACTTAGGCTTGGAAGGGAGGGATGGCTGCCATCGGCAAGAGCTGTGAGTTCTTCAATCCCAACCTCCCATAGTATCAGCTGATTGAGGGAAGGAAAACAGACTGATAAATATCTCAGTGACTGACATCGTGAAAGTTGCAGACTTTTCACATTTGGTAGGTTTTCAGGGTTGAACCAGCTTGGAGTGACATCACCGCCGAAGCATTCAACTCGAAGCCGTTGGATTCTTGAAGGAGGATGCAGGCCTTCGAGAACTTCATTCTCAAACCTCCTCCAGCCGCATGCCTGCACTCTCCACTCCAATACCAACTCCTCGAGGTATTGCTTGTCAACAAGGTTAGCCTCGGCGGCTTCTGCCATATTCTGAACTCTACCAATGGATCTGATAGATAGTGTCCCACTGAGCTGGTTCATGCCCTTCAACTCACCAATTTTGCGTCCATTCACATTTCCAACCCGAAAATAGCTCAAGTTCCGTAGACATGATAGATTCCCTATGCCACTTATCTTAGATAGCTCGTGAGAAGACTTCACCGGTAGGGACAGACGACGCAAGTTGACTAGCTTTGTTACTCCCTCGTGAATTGTTTGCAACCTTGTACGGCTGGCATCAACCACTTGTAGGTTGTAAAGGCACCAGAATTTCTCGGGGAATTCCTGTATACTGCTATGTGATATATCAAGGTAGCGAAGATGATTCAAGAAACAAAGGCTCTCAGGTAGCTTCACCAGCTTGCAACCTTTCAGGCTCAAAAAGAGGATGTTGGAGAGCTGACTAAACCATGAAATCATCTCAACCTCGAATCTGGTTCCAAACCTAAGAGAACGCAGTTTATTCAGATTGTCAAGGTCTGTTGTCATTCTGCTTAGAGCTGCATTATCCACCTCTATTGACATATGACGAACTGTTTGTGGCATTCTTCTCAGGCTCTGGTAGCTGCTAGAATCTTGCATCAACAAGCACTCACCCATTGACACAGATTGTGCCATATCATGGATCAAATCATGCATTATATATCTACTTAGTCCAGGGAACTTGGGATCAGCTTGGAGTAGAAACCGGCTACTCAAATCATTCAAATATCTACTCCCCACATCCTCAAGGCGCATGCTACCTGCTGGTGCAACATAGCCCTGTGACGCCCAGAGGTCAACTATCTCATCTTTTTCAAAGCTATAATCCTTTGGAAACATACAACATAGTGCAAAGCATCTTTTTAGTTCCTGCGGGAGATACAAGTAGCTCAGACGAAGGGCTGGTAATATCTCATTATCTTGCTGTGCTAGCTCCCACAGTTCATTGTTCTGGATACTCCTCCAGTGTCGCTCGGTGAGCTCCGTATTCAACAAGCGGCCGAGCGTTTTGGCAGCTAGAGGAGATCCACACAGCCTAGAGGCAATGCCACGACCAATTTCTTGCAGCTGGGGATATGACTGCAGGCACTCTCTACCGAATGCACACTTGCTGAAGAAGTCCCAAAATATGTCAGTAGGCAGGCCTTGGAGTTCTACAGCTGCTGCGGGAGGCTCAATGGTGGCAACAAGGTCTGCAACCCGTAGAGATCTAGTTGTCACAAGGACCATGCTGCCGTGATGTCCATACCTCAGTGGCGCTGAGAATGTCCTCCATTCCTCACACGCGCTGGGCCATACATCATCCAAGACAAGAAGAAACTTCTCTTCTTTCAGCTGTTGGCTCAGTTCCACTTGAAGAGCATTTAAGCTCGCTAGTGAATCGGTTGCTTCTGCGGAGGCAGAGGTATGTTCCAGAATCTCTTTGGTCACCCTCTTTATGTCAAAAAGGTCAAATACACAAACCCAAATTCTCAAGTCAAAGTGTGCTTTAACCCTTGGGTCATTGTACACTAGCTGGGCAAGCGTAGTCTTACCGACCCCGCCGATGCCAACTATCGGCAACACAGTAAGATCAGTAGCAACAACCTCCATGGCAGATGATCTCCTACTCTTCTCTCTCAATCGCTTGGCAGACGATCTAGGCATGGCTGATGGCACGCCCAACAGACTGATCACCCGGCCCTGCTCTTCGTCGCGTCCAAACACCAGGGACTCGCTGAGCACTGAGCTTGTCTCTGGCATGCGTGGCGCCTTGCCAAGCTGCCTCGGCTCAATGTTAAGGCCCATGAAATTGAGCGCTCCCTCCATCTCGCCAATGACCTTGTCGAGCTTACTCTGGGCATCCTCTGCTCGTGCTTTGCTGCGGCTGATCCAAACTCTAGCACGGTTAAATATGGAAGCCAAGAGTTGACCTGCGACACTTCGGTTGGCGGCCTCCGTCTTCTGCTGCAGAAGCTGGCCATCCAGCTCGCGGAGAAGGTCCTCGGCGTCGTAGGTGGCGTCCTTGAGCTGCGAGAGCAGCACGGCCAGGTTCATGTCCTTGAACCTGCCCCACTCGGCGCGATCGATGAGGAGGTGAGCCTTGGGAAAGCTGGCCCGGAGTCGGGACACATCCAGGCTCAGATCCGTTGCGTCCACGATGTTTGCGCCGGCAGAGATGATCTGCTGCATGGTCTCCATCTAGCTCGTCTTCCCCCTCTCTTCCTCAGCTCCCTCGTGGATATTGGTTCTGTGGTGGAAATTGTGCTAGTGTACAGACGCAATACATCAGCAATGATGGATCCTCTTGTCCCAAGTGGGTCCTCCAAGGCTTTGTGCTCATCTGATCTGAACCAGACAAGTCGTTGGAGCATGATTGATTCCTACTCCAAATTTATTATTAGTTTTTTGACAGCTACTCCATTGTTAACACTGCAAAGAACCATTCCAATTTTCAAGTGGAGTAGCTCAACAAATCCACAATATGCAGATGTCAGCAGCCTGGTTGTCTCGTCTGAGTAAGAGGTGCTGCAGCGCACCAATCGAGATTCGAGAGGACGTAAGTGCAGTTTGCACACAGCAACGAGTATATGGAACCCGACCCCCGCGTCGCCTCCCTGGCGGCTCGGGGGAAAACCCTAGCCGCCGCGACACCCATCCCCTCCTTCTCCTAGTCTCGCCGCTGCCGGAGGGTGCCTCCCAGCAAAGCTCGGGCCGGCCCTGAGGAAGGCGGCGGCGGGGCTTCAGCTCTCTCTGGCGCGTCGCGGGCGCGGGTGGTTTCGCTCGGCCCGGCGGCGGCTTCAAGCGGCGGGCGTCGGCGCGCTACAGGCGGGGGTCGGCGCGGTGAGAAGCGCGGGCGAGTCGCCGCCGGTGCGTGGAGGTCCTTGTGATTCGCGGTGGCCGGGCCAGATCTGGGCCTTGCCTGGCCGCGTCTCGACGGCCTCGCCCCGGGGCGTTGCGGTGCTGCCGGTCGGGCACATGGGTGGTGGCCGGCGCGGATCTGCTGCGCCGCTGCCTCGTGATGCTGCCGGCCGGGCACCGCCGTGGGCGTGGCGTTGCCAAGGCGTGGGCGCGGGAGAAGATGCGGGAGATGAATGGCACCCCGGTGTTACATCCTTCTGTTGGTGGTTCGGCAAGCTCGACGCTGCTTCGGGTGGGAGGATGAGATGGGGGTGGCTGGAGGGAGAGGAATGGCCTCGCTGCAGTTGTTGCATCCTTCGTTGGGAGAGGAATGGCCGGCAGGCGTTGCATCCTCAGGGAGACGAATGGCGTTGTGCTTGGTTGCATCCTTCCGATGGGAGACGAATGGCGCTGCTAGGGGTTGCATCCTCCGTCCAGTGGGGGATGCGGATGCAAGGTTGGAAGCACGTCGAGCTTGTCGGGGAGGTGCGGTCGGCCGTGGAGGCAGGGATAGTGGTTTGGTGTGTAGGCTGATCGGATCCTGGGTTTGGGCTATGCAGGTGAGACTGCCGGCGAAAGTCGTACTCCGGTTGCGGCCGGAGTCGTTGATGGCGGCGCTTTCCGGCGTCGCTCCCTCGTTGGAGGCATCGATGTAGCTGCTCTCATCTTGCCTTTCCCGGTGTGGTTCGGGGGAAACCCTTGATCTAGTTTAGATCGGACGATGGCGGCGCTATTTGGCGTCACGTTCTCTCTTGGGGGCATCGTTTCTGGAGGTGGATCCGGTCAGAGGGACTCGTGGCTCGTGAGGGGGTGTGTGTTTCTTTGCTGAAAGGCGCCGTTTGTATGGTTTTTGGGTCCGGTTTCCCTCATAAACTGGACCAAGTCTTCTTTCTCCTGATCAATGAATTTGGTAGATCAACTACCAACATTCGAAAAAAAAAGAGGGCGTAAGTGCAACAACACTGCAAGCACCTTTTCCAATATATAATTGTGATCAAGAAGCAACAGTCTGTTACTTTTGGCTCTTCTTGATTTTTCTCAGCAATGCACATCTGGATAGATGGCCCCCTCCAAGCAATCAGATGCTACGGCAATTCTCTTGACATTTAAATCTCGAGCTAAAGCAATCACCCCCAAACAAACTAAAGCAGGTTCGGTCAGTCCTTGTATCATTTGCGCCGATGGTAATAGTCCATGCTCATCAAGGAATATCACCACCAGCGCTCCCCTCTGCCCATCAGCGTTGATCTTTACCATGCTAGGATGCAACTCGGGGGTATCTGGCTTGTGGCTTCTCGCCTGGCGAATAGGTGCTGGTCAAGCAGGGGAGGCTGAAGAAGAAGATGCCACCTCCAGGCCTGACAAAAATGTTTTCTTTATAGAGAACTGACAGGAGCCTTTTAACAAAATCGAATGTTGAAAGATGCATGTAGAACTCGTTTTCGTGAATCGCTTTGCAGACTGCCCAAAGATACTAGCATGTGTTAATCTGTTAAACATCTAGTATTTCTTTTGTTGTATAAATCAGCAGTTCTATACTTGGATTATCCTATTCTATTTCTTTTTAATGCCTAACTGATCTCCAGCTGTAAGTGGCAGTTGTTCTTAGGTGTTCTTTTGTCCAGTGAACTTCCTATGAATTGATATCAAGGATTCCAGATTATTTTAAGTGGCTGCTGGCCTGTTGTGTTCTACGTGTTGGTCACCTGGAAAGCCAAAAATACTGAAAATGACATGTATGCACTGTCATAATAATCAATGGCAGTTAATTTTCAGATATCTTTGGGGCGATCCTCAAGAAGATGTCCACCTACCGTAAATCCTAAGTTGCTCCCCTGCTTTGACATTGGATTGGAATAGTGTCGACTGACCAGGCACGGAGAAACACCTGATCGTTCTACCTTTTTGCTATTTTTTTTTGCGTCATCGGTTTTACTATCAGTATATGCAGTGCTGCAGATTGCGATGCTATGGAGGCGATCAAACAATGGCTCCTTTCAGAACTGTTGTCAGATCGTGAAGGACATGGAAGGTTATGTTCTTGTTCTTAATCTCTGCCCTGGATCTCAAGATCTTGCAGTTGAGCTGTACCTAGAATTGCCATGCCAGAAACTAGAAGTAGTTGGTCTGCTCTTAGAACAGGCTGGGTTGAGAACTTGAGATCAGGCGAGTTTCGACTGATTCTGAAAAAAAGTTGAGTTTCGACTCACGGACCCTTTCCAGCAAAAGGGAAAATGTACTATAGTATAGTACTGTTTGGCAATTTTTAGCACATTTTGAGGGGCTTTTTTCATCTCGATGTGGCGAGTGATTGACAAAAAACTATCACTTTACGGGTTACCGTCCCCTAGAACTACCACTTTTTAAAAATGGACTGAAAACTATCATTTTTTTTAATTTATGACTAAAAACTACCACTTTCGGAAAATATTCCGTTTAGACGATTTAAACACGGGAGGCAGAGGTAGCCTCTGCTCCGAAAGTCAAAATAAACAGTCAAAATAACGAAATATTTTCTAGACTGACATGGGAATATTTTCTACACTTTCAGTATGCTTTCTTTTTTCTAAATTCCTGATCTCAGTTTAAAAAAAAGTCCAAATGTTGTCCTTGACCCTGCACCGCACCATCGCTCCATCCTACAGCCTGCGCCTCTGCTCCGACCCCGCACCTCTGCTCTCGACTCCGCTCGATCTGGCCAGCGAGGCAGCTGCTGGTCGCCGGAGCCGTGGGATCAACGAGCACCCGCCCCTCCATCTCCCGGCGAAGCAGCTGCTAGTGCCGCGTGATCCGTCGAGCACTCGCCCCTCCATCTCCAGACGAGGAAGCCGCTGGCCGCCGACACCGTTGTTCCAGGACACTCGGCTGCTGTTGGTCCCCGCCAATGCGGTCGCGACGCTCCTGTTCCAGCCAAGACGTGGTTGCTGTTGACGGTGGTCGATCGCTCCATGGACGGTGTGCTGACAACGGTGCGACTGCGACGCTAGCCTCTCTGTAGGTCAGCGAGCAGCCCTTGAACCGCGGCGGCATCGACAAGGCGATGGTCCTCCTTCCCAATGCTCGCGCTGGCGCCGAAGTGCTCCTTGTTGGGCGGGAAGACAAGGTGGTGGACCTTCTTGTTCATCATGTTCTGGACGAGCTCTCAAAGCAGCTCGGGGTCGGCTGCGGCCAGCAGGTCCAACTCCTGTATGTTCTCGGAGGCGCAGACAGCTCATCACTGGCATCGGCGGCATGGTGGTGCTAGTGAGGTGTTTGTTGAAATGCCAAGTGAGGTGTTTGTTGAAATGCCAAGTAGAGAGAGAGGAGGAGGAAGAAGAAGAAGATCAATGCTAACATGTGGGCCCCACCTGTCATAACGGTCAATGTAGCTGTCAATATAACATGTGTTGCCGATCTCGTCTGCTTTTTTTTGCTGCCTCCCTGGGCTCGCACTTACATGGCCTCGGGCCCAACTCACGCTCACATGGCCTCAGGCCCAACACACTTACACACGGTTGCAGGTTCAGTTAACAGAACTGCATTGCCTTAAAAAAAAAGAAGTTAACAGAACTGCACTCTTCTGTCCGCTGCAGGCCTGCAGATGCAGCTTCTGCATGCGCGACAATATTCCTGGATGCCTACTATTCCAAACATGCTAAATTATAGTTTGACATGCTAAATTCGTGCTTTGGCCATCAGTTAGTCAAATAATGTCATTTGTGTTAAAAAAAATAGACACGATTAGATTCGTAGACCAAAGCACTTTTGCGTGATTCTGATTTTATGACCATTAACTAAATACATATTGTACGAAAGGATTATGGTCAAAGCTTGAATTTGGGCAGTCAAAGAAATACACCTTCTTTTTAAGTCAAAGGAAGTACGTATGATGATTCCAACGCAAGACACGGTTGAAAAGACATCATAGCCCGGACACCACAAAAGGTGTATGTTGCCTTGCTCCCCATCCACGCTAGCAAACCCGGACTATATCTGCGCGCTGCTACCACCATTGCGGAGTCGACTCCCCTGACGTGCCGTTGCACACACTGGCATGTGGACCTGGACCCACATGTCAGTGGCCCCACGTCAGGGGGCAGTACGTCAGACGATCCAGGTCCCACCATTGCGCAACCTACACTGCCGACTCACTCACTCTCGGCCAAGATTACACAATGGTAAGTAAATGACCTGCAAGTACCGCCAGACCGCTTGCCAACCTACTTGCTCGTTTTGGTCCTAATAGTTATTCCTAACCCCTACGGTCACGCATCACACCTGCAACCTGCTTCGACCAGTCGAGTTATCATGCAACCCCAACT